TTTCTTCACCACACGCTCAAAAGCCCCAGTCAGGCTGTCAACTTACTGTATACACACGTGCTGGGGTCAAAGGGAGCAAATGAGGTAAAATGACCAAATGCACATACAGACTGTGAGATAAAGGCCTTCCCTCTTGCACAGTATGAGTAAAATATGCAACTTCATGCAACATTTAGGAGTCAGTGAGGGTGTTTTTCAGATAGGGAGTTCTTTTTGCCTATAAAAAGTGATATATATATATATATATATATAGGGCTGTTACCATTTAAAGATCTTCCTAGTCGACTAGTAGTTGTTATTTCAAGCCATAAGTTGACTTGTCGTTGAACATTTAGGAATTAATTTAATTAATCAAATATATATACATGGTATATATTAACAGCTGCCTGTTGAATGATAACGGCAAAAACAAATACTGAACTTGTTACAATCTTGTTCCTCTCCCATTCCTGCCTGAACCTGCCTTATTTAACTGGATTGGTGTGTGACCTGTAATAAGTAGTTCAGCTTTGGTAACCTTCCTCATTTTTTGCGTAATTAATACTCAGAAAAAGTAGGATGAATCAACGGCAGCAGTAGGCTAGTTCCATGGAGAACTACCATTTTAAACTTTCTGACTAGTTCCTCTCTTCCCGGAACATCAGTGACTGCAGTACTTTAGTACAAATTCAAGGTACTTGGACTTTTCGTATTTCCACTTTAGGTAACTTTATACTTCTACCCCACTACATCTCAGAGGCCTACTGTAGTTATTGTAGCTACTCCACTACATTTGTCTGACAGATTTAGTTACCAGAGGTGTGGACTCACATAACTTTGATTACTTTTGAGTTTAAAATACTTGACACCTACCATAGTGACTTTATTCTAGAACCTATCCATTGTTATTGTTATTCATTAAGACATAAAACATGCAGCGACATGCGTTAAAAACAACAAGACAGGACAGAAACATACAAAAGACAGTTTTTCGTGCCTTTCCTGTCTAGTGAAAACCATTTATCTCCAGATTTAGAGTTTGACTTTTAGAGAGTTTAGAGAAGAGTTTGAATTTTTCTGTTCCTTTATGGGTTGAGAAAATTGTCCTACTTCTCCTGCTTTGAGTGAGAAACTGTGGACAGTTAGTCACAATTAACTCTGCCACGTGCTAATGCTAGAAAGCACCAATCAAATTGACCGTCTCACTGCCATGGCTTACTGGGATGGAAGTAGAACGCAGCTATTGATCATTAGTGAACATCTGTCTGCTGTGAAAAAGGCCTGTTAGCTACTGAGCTAAACTAGTTTTGGAGCTACACTCTACACCAGGTGTCTTCACTTAGTTTGTCTGATTAGACTTCCTCCTCAGGACCACATGGGAGTGTGCAGACTGTGCTTAATGTCTTCGGCTCTTCTTGGAAATAATTTTGTTGCACCTGCTAAACAAGGACAACGGAAACAGTTTGAATATTTATTGTGCATGTAGTTTGGTGATATGTAATTTGCAGTAAGACTACTCCCAACTTTGACCTTAGGCAAATTAGCCAGAATAACTGAAATCACCTGTGTGTACAGCCTCTTTGTCTTTTTGCATGGAATAATTTATTTAATTCAGTTTTTAACAAATAGACTAGAATAGAATACTTTCGGCACGAGCCCACGAAACCTCATGGGAGCAGTTGTTAAATGCCACAAACATAACAACAAAATAAATTCAAATTCAAGTCAGATGCTGGCCCAGAACTGCGAAAACCTACGTCTATGTAAATTTGAATCTTATATTTAGAAATAAAATTTAGCTGGAATTGTTTTGAATATAAATGGATCATCTTACTATGCAAAATTATCTGACCATTGGGTTATTTTTAACCACATTTTTAAAAAAATACATGAGTGCCTTACTACAGTTTGAGTGTTAAGAATCATTTTATTATAAATAAATTAATTTAAAAATGAATTAAAGCTGACATAACACAAAAATGTTTTCACAAACAGAACTGATGACATTCGTGTAGTCTGTGTATTATTAATCTTTCTGTAGTGTTTGCATTCTGTGGAAGTGTACACTTCAGCAAATGGTGACGTCAAACTAAATACTGGAGTTCACAAAATCCCACGTCCCACTTGTAATACAACTAAAAGGCTGATGTGAATGGATTTTCCCAGTCACCGGGGTGTATTCATCATAAATCCAACTTCTAAAATCTAAAATTGGCTGTTGTACAACTTTTACACTTTGAGAATTGATTAAAAAGTCAATCCTGAGCCAATATTGAGGTTATATCTAAAATATAGCAGATTAATGAGAGTATTATTCACCAATGAACTGTTGTCTCCTCCTGCTGGGCCTGATAAGGCTGGAGACATTCTTTACACAGTGTACAAAAATGTCCTCATAGCAGCTGATAAAACGATTTCTTCCTGACACATTTAAATGGTATGAAGTCACCTAACATAAAACACTCTCTATTTTAAGCAACACTAAGTTGTTAACTAATAAATGTCCAACCCTGTAAACACTACTGAATTGTATTAATAAACATAAACAGTTTTTAAATAAGTGTTATTAAGTTGTTAAGTTAATGTTTGAACTAAAAGTTGCCCATCTACCTCTATCAGTTCTCTGTTTTGTGTCAACTGTACAACAGGTTTCAGTACAGCTGTGGAGGACATGCGGGTACTTCCTCAGAAAAACCTGATGTGGGAGCTATAATGGTTTCAGACTATTGATTTAGATGCAAAGGCTGGCTGGGGGCGTAGCTATGATGACAAATTTATGGCTTGTGTAAGCTGTGTGCTCTGCAGCGCTTGTTCTCTAGAATCACATGACCAGAGAGTACCAGCGAATTTCTCCTGAGCACGGCACAAGCCCGGCGTTCTTTTAATAGTCCTCAACTGAAGGTCAGACAGGTTTCAGCTGTCTGCTAGAGGTGAAAAGGTGCCCCAGTCTTTCATGCATTAAAAGCCTTTGAAATGATATAGATACTTCTTATTAACTGCCTGATAAAGGAAATTACAACACCACAAAAGTTGAGATCACTGACAAACAACTCTGCTGAGTTTTATTTAGCTTAATTTACCGTATGTAAACAATCAAACACTCATCATATAATACTGTACACAATCATACAGGGGTTTTCTTGTGTTATTTGAACCTTTGTACTTTGTGTCTTGTGTATACAGGGTGCTCAGGTTTTCTGGGAAAGACGTGGATTTATTTATACTCAGCAGTTTTGAAGCAGCCTGTACTTATTTGGTATTATTGCACACCACGAGTGGATTGAATACTCTAGAAGTGATCTTACAACCATCACTTTATAATGAATTTAATAAGAAAGGTGATTCACACTGTTCACATCCTTAGATGGTTTAGTTCTAAGCTATTAAAGGGTTGTCCCTTTTGTTATCTGCCTATGTTTTAGAAGGAAAGCAAATTATTCCCAAAACATGTCTTGTGGCTTTCTCTGGGACATCAATTACATTTATAAAAGGGCCTCCGGATATGTGTTTTAAACTAACAGTGTTGGTTTGATATCAAGACATTACTGAGAGAAAAAAAAGACCACTCACAGAGCACAAATCACCTCAGAGACCCTTTATCTCTCTCCCATTGGCCGAGAGGAAACAGTAAAGTGCTGTGGAAGCAGGTAGAGCTGGAGCTCGTTCCCGTAATTATGTTGGATGTGGAGGTTATTGCAGATTCCCGTTCATCCATCATTTTTGCAGTTTGCAGTAAATGTGCATGCACTCCTGGCTGTAGTCTCTCTTAATATTATGAACAGTATGAGGGATCTGTGCTTTCACAGGGGTTGCAATATAATAAGCTACCTCTGGGATAGTTATCAATAGGTAAGCCATTCTTGAATGTTTTGTATGATATATGTGGACAAAAAAAAATGTTCTAATGTTTTCTGACAAATCTATATTTTCTTTTCTCTGGCTTTAGTAAATCCCGATATGTAGAAAAGTACTGAAGTTGCCACAAAAATACACAAATAACCATAATTATAAGTTATTACATTAAATAATTTCTTGTTAGGTCAAAATTGACAGAAAGAAAAAGAAAACTGTTGGGGGTTTTGGGGGGTTTTGGGGGGGTTTTTGAAACGTTTTGGGCCGTTTTTATAAAGGAAGAGGGTCATGGAGTACAGGATGTGTTGTTCTAAAAATAATCTCAACAATAATTCACACTGTAGAAGAAAGCCAATATAAATCATAGTGCTGCTGGTTGGAAAGGAATTGACTTCTTTCCTGATCAGAGGCTTTGCACTGCACGCTTTAAATACGATCCTGTAATATAGTTTACTTTCGGTTGTTGTGACTGTTGTGTGTGTGCAGGTGAACAGAGAGAACATGTTGCAGACAGTTGGCAACACAGCTTGATTACGGGATAAGATAAGATAAAGTTCACTATGTGCAGTAAATACATCTTGTCTTTAAATTGCTATGTATTCAAGTGCACATGTTGACATACCTTTCACCTGAATATCTGTTTGTGTTCAGGGCGGGGGACATTTCTGAGAATCTGTGTACTTCACCACCATTCATGTTATAAGCAAACTGCAGCATCATTATGTATGTGCATGTGAGAGCATGTCGGGTCATGCCAGCGCCTACAGAGAATTCAGTGAGTCACAGCAGACTAAAAAGGAGTCAGCTCGTACTTCTCCAGAAGACTTGATTGATATTTTACACTTCTGGTGTAATTTGTCTGAAGCAGCTGCTCTTTGACAGAGGCTGATGTTATCAGCTCAGAAAGAATGACACTATGACATTATTTTGCTCTGTACTTGGAAACATATCTTTAAAATAGAAACTTCAAAGCCCTTGGTAGATAAAATTATTACACAGTGAGATAGGTTTTGTGTATCTCTGAAGCAGAAATAAAAATTTAAGAGGAAATCGTGAAAAACTTTAAATTTGTGGCCTGACCTCTGTACCAACCATATGTGCTAAAACTTGACCTGTGGAAATAAAGTGTTAGTAATCATAATGGAAATCAAACACTGAGATCTCATTTCATAGAAAAATAGTGCTCTTTTATTATAAATTAATGAAATGTTTCATACAAATATAAATAAGTGCAAAGTTGTATCAGTCTGCTTGCTTCGTCAAACTTCTCAATTATCTTCAAGCATCCACAGCCAGTGGTACGGCTGGCAAAGAGTACATCTTTATGAAAGACAGCACAAAAACATTTCACCTTCACTCATGTAAACTCATGAAAAAAAAAAACATTTGGACTCTTCTCCTTCTTAGGAAAAGGTAGATACCATTATTTAATACATTCATTTGCAAGCACTGGCTATCCTGTCTGTGCCATAAAAACTACCACATCTTTTATGAGCTATTTCTTAACCACTGAAGCCATATAAAAATGTGACTGTTCTCTCAAGTAAGACCCTTTAGGATTCAGTCATGTTGGTGGTGTTCCAAAATAAAACTGTATAGTTCAGGCAAGTTTGGCATTAAAAACCTTCCTCTAAACAAAATATAAGAAATATGTCTTCTTTACACATTTTCTGGTCTGAACAGATTTTTAGAAAATTCAGATTAAAAAAAAAAAAAAAAGTTCAGCCCTTTTCCCGTCATGGCTTGTACAAACAGGGCACACAAAAGGATATCACTCATGTGTCCACCCATTTTCCACTGTCTGTGAATTTTTCCAGCATACACTTGGTCAGAAATCCCAGGATGCTGGACAGACGTGCCTTATATACGACCCAGATTACCATCCAAGGAGGCTGATGTGTGTGAGCTCGACAGCCTCGCAGCACATTGGTTAGCAGCAGAGGGAACCTGTGTGTCATCAGCTGACTGTGAGACTCACTTCAGTTTTCAGTAAGTTGTACGTCATCGGCAGAGGTTATCTCTCTTTCATACCACAAGATTACAGCAGTGCCCTCTTTGTGGATTAGTCCTCAATCCAGTGTCTCTTTCTGAAATGTGGACCTTATGAGAACCACTATTCTGTAAAAGCACATCTTGTCAGTACACTAAACTGCTCCTTTTTCACAAGCTCGGACCCTTAACTCTTTAGGCTCTCCTCACACACAGTGCCTGTTGTTGAACTGTGTCTGTACTGCAACCGTGGAGTTGCTTCTTGACACTCTGAAGTCTTTGCCCCTTCAAGAGCATCAGTCCAAAACCTCTAGATAGGGGCGTCATATTCCTGGAGGAACTCCTTAAGAGGATGAGGAAGTTGGTCTCTTTTAGAAGAAATGTCCAAGTGTCCATTGACTGTTTTCCTGCACAAATGCTGCAAGCTGCATAAGGTGGAGAGAGGTTTGATTAGCTCCAGGGGGATCTTCTCCCCTCCAGAGAAAATGTTGTAGGTACTCCCACTGCGGCTGTTTCCTTTGCTCTGAGTCATGTAGTAATGGATCAGCTTGAGGACGCAGTCAAAGTGGGGAACAGACTGAATGTTCTTAGGGTCAGTTTGCAGGTAAAAAGAGGTTGTGTCACATTGGATGCGCAGGTTCTTGGTGCCCGACGCCGTCTTGACGCTAAGGGCGAACAAGTGCCGGTTGTCAGAGCTGTCCCGGATAAGAAACGTGCCGGTGGCTTCATTTGCCAGCATGCTGTTGGCTTCCTTCCCGGTAATGGGGCCCCAGTAGAAGCCACTCTCCTTGAGCTTGTTCAATGTGCTTTGGACCATCTGGTAGTGCGTCTTGGAGACGAAAGTCTTGTAACGGTGAGGCAGCAGCATGTTGGAGTCCAAGAGGCTGCTGCTCATTGCGGAGTCAAACTTGCTGTAAGTTACCATGGCGCTGTGCCGGCTCTTTAGGCAGCCTGGGGGAGCACTGGGCACCACACAGACGAGAGAAGAAGAGGTGGGGTCAAACAGAGGTACAGAGGGTTGTCAGGGAGGGCATGAAGAGGTCAGTCTGTCTGGAAATGAAACACCTGAAGAGACAAAAGAGGAGAGTTTGAGCTCATGACACTTTAAACACACATTAAAATACAGTCAAACAATTAAAAAAAAAAGTTTTATTCACATTGAGGTTTAATGTAATACTCCTCATCTCCAGCAGCTCAGTGGAAACTATTTTTCCAGATGTGGAAGTTCTGTACATCATGCCTTTAAACATCCCTGGTGATGATGGGGAAATTGTCCCACAGCGCCATGACTTTTTCTTTGTTTTATAAATCATCTACAAACAGGACAAATTCTCTGGCTGTTCCCCTCTTTGTTTGAGATGAGCTGAGGTTTTAACTGCTCCTTTCACTGAAAATGCTTCCTAATAACTTCCAGCCATTTCGGGGAAACTTTTTTTGTGTAATCTGCCCTCGAGACTCAGTTCCAGTAAAGACATCGTAATCCCGATTGCGCAATTTACGCACCACGACCGGCTTCACTGAACCTCACTCAGATAAACACCCAAGGCATTATTCATCTACTTATTAACCCTGCATCGTATATAGATAATAAGTGTAAGATGATCAAAAACAGATCCTCACCTTTAGTGTTTTCTCCAAACTCGCTCTGTTTCGAATAAATCCAAGTAGATCGTTCACAAGCCTACACAGCTGCCCAGCAGTTTGCCTGTCAGGGGGGTGAAAAGCTCTTTGGCCACAAAAGTTCACACTTGTAAAGTAGTTTTCTTGGCAAGTAGCAGCCGGTGAGCTGCCAGTGGTGAGCTGTGCTTTAGTAGTGGAGCTGTAAGAGGAGAGGAGGGTTTTTATATACAGAGAGCAGACTCCGCCTTCTCTTTCCAGGAAGCTCTTTATTTATTTTTTTTAAAGGATGAGAAGTGCCCTCCCCCCCTCCCGCTGTTCTCCAAAATGAAGTTAAGGAGTTCCAAGCAGTACTATTTACCTTTGGTAACTAAGTGCCTCCTTGCTGCCTTATTAACAGTTAAGAAAATAAATACAGATACAGAAGAGTTTAAGAACCAGCTATAGAATTTGATAATCATAATGTGATTGTTATGTTATTTCCCCCTAAAGTTCCGCTTTAGTGTACGGTAATTATTCTTGTGTGTTGTCAGTTTCGTAGAATTTCACAGTAATAGTAGCCCGCATGCTGGACACACAGTTCACCATAGAGGGCGCTAGATTTTGGGGAACTTCATTGCACATTAAGAGTTAATTTCCCGAAAGCAACAGCTGGTATCCAAGGACAGCAGGTTATTATTTACTGGCTGTAGTGAAGTTTTATGTCTATGTCTTCCTGCAGTCTTAATTATCATATTGTATGATTGTTTTCAATATAGTGTATAAACAGGTTACTGACAATATAGTAAAACACAGTTGTAATGATATAAAGGAGGTATTCATAGGAGAAGTTGTTGACAAATACTTTACATTATTAAACACCTACAATGTCCTTGTATCTGCTTACAACTACATTATAGTGTGTCATAACCCATATTATTAAATATCTATACTCATCCAACCAGGAGAAGTAATATAAAATTTTGCTAAAAAGTACAAATACGTTTAATAAGTACTATTAATGAACAGTTTCTTTGTCCTTTTTATTATTGTATTATTACTTTTTAGTTTGGCAACTATCAGGTGAAAAAAAGGTTTATTCTCAGGTGCTCCCCTCCCACTCTGGTGACCACAACTCTTCTCCTGAACTTACTGTAAGAATATAATTTAGAATAATTTGCATATCAGGCTGTTTAGAGGAAGTATGACTTCAGATCCTCATGTAAAGACAGATAGTCTAATCTTTAGCAACATGCGTGTGACTGGTTGAGTGCTCATACCGTTCACATCAGCTCCCCCCCTGCTGACTCAGCTATGAGCACCAACATCCTCAGGTGGTTATTGTGTTGTAAATTAATTACAGGCCATGTTGTCATGTCAGGCTCTCTAACTCACTCTTTTTACTCATCAGAAGACGGGTTATACATTTTTACGCAAAATAGCTCTCTCAGCAAAGACCGTGTAAGTTCTCAGAAATAGATACAGAGCTGTTTTGGTGTTAGTTTTACCAAACCTCGGCTGGGAGCTGGACAGAGGGGAGGAGCAAACAGACTGACGCCAAAGAGCCTGATGGGTTTGGTAAAAGCCAGCTGTGTCCACAGAGGTGAGTCAGGTGTTGTCTGATTCAGACCACCAGTAGGATAAGGGGGAAGGGAAATCACTAGGATAGCCTCGTAACAGTCCACTTGTTTCCAGAAAGTCTATTGTGTCATCATTGTGAGGCATGTATTTAGCATCCAAAGTCTCCCCCGGGACCACAAGAGTCAATGGAGGGGAAAAGTAGCAGTAAGTTGGCCGAAGCTGGGAGAAAGAAACCCCCACGCTATGTTTTAGCTCACCACGTCTCCATGGGAACCATCGCACATCATTACGGCATGCTGACTTGGCTTTTTAGCTCTGTAATTTCTCGAGTCAGACTTTTGATTGCGTGGAATAGAACTGCAGTAAGGATGAACCTGTAAGTGCTCCCGTGTAGACGTCAAGGCTTATAAAAAAAGAAAGAAAGAAAGAAAGAAAACAAAATAAACTAAACCAGACAGTGTGTACTTAAGGTCAAGCCTCAGATGGCAGGTCAGTTGAGGCAGCCGATGAACCAAGTAACCTGGAGCTAAGAAAGCTTCCTAGTCTGTTGCTGTAGGACTCCTTCTAAGTGTCTGAGGCTCAGGGTGTGAAGCTTGGCAATGACAGATTTGGTCCTGTTGGCTAACCGTGTGTGTGCGTGTGCATGTGTGTCTTTCCGAATGAGTTTGAATTCACACGCAGAGTCCTTATTTAGTGGATGAGACGAGACCTTGCACGATAGCTTGTTGGTCTAAACCACTGTTTAGTGGAAAAGGCGGCTGTTTTTGGTTGTGGTTTTCCCACACTGACTCAGAAATTTACTCTAGCTCATGGTTCCCGTAAACCCACTGGGTATGAGGGGGAAAAAAGCGGAGCTCTCGACTGGAAAGCAGAAAAATGTTATTCAACCAAATATTTGGAAGCAGCTTTCACTGAACAGGGGGATCTTTTAAAAGCTCTGCATGTTTTGCCACACATTTTTTTGTGGTGTTGGAAATTACAAAGGCGCCGCTTATTGTTTGCACAGCTGAATACGGTGCCTGAATTCAGGTTGAGTCAACAACATCAGCAAATGTAGTTCATTGAACATCCTTTGCCATTGTGTGCGGTTGAATTTAGAATAAAATCTTTGTTTTCTAAAGGTCCGACTTACTGAAGCCTTTAAATGATACTGCATGCATGAAAGGGCTGTCAAACTTGCTGTGATTCAAATCCAGTGCATTTCTGTGGAACCTCTTGTTGATTATCTGAGATATGCTGGAAAGTTCCTGGTATATCAATCTAATTCCTGTTAGTTCTGTTTCATTATCATGTAGCTTCAGTAGCTTCACTTCCTGCCTCTACCTGCATCTTTCCCTTGTTTAAATGTGACAATTTGGTCACTATGTAGCGTTTCAGTCACAGCTGTATTACTGTAAAACTTCCTTGTTGGTTGAGCAAGGTCCCTTTTGTCTGATTACCAATCATCCAGTAATAATTTCCTGGTAACTCTCTCTCTTTCTCTCCCTCTCGGCTCTCTCGTGTCTCTCCCTGTCTCTCTCTCTCTCTGTTTCTCTCTCTCTCTCTGTGTTGCCGTCAATGTCGTTCTTTGTGTGATTCATTATCGGAAGTGTCAAGTGTGACCACCACAGTTGAGAATGAACTACAAGCCACAAAACCCCACTGTTTTTCACAATTCATTCTTCAAAAGAATAGTCACAAATACAAACTATGTCCATTTTGATACTGGTGTAAAATGTATTTATGTATTTTGTGTTGACTAGAAACACTTCAGAGTAGTGTTTCCATGTGGCATGTGTAGTGACGCTGGTAGTGTACTCGAAAAAGAACATTTTATTCATGTGTGTCAGAGATGCTTGTCTTCATGCTGATTGCGCAACTCTACAATTACTGTAAATTTACAGGGAAGAAAACATTATTATTGTTTATTAGCTATTTACCTTTTAGTGGGAAGTGACTGCACCATGTGAACACTGCTGTGTTCAAGAGAACAAAAGATAAATAAAATAAACTAAAGGGAAACAAATGATTGACATGAAAACTCACACAAAATCAGGCTTTGCTTCTATGAGTAAATTAAGCTGCAGAAAATGTGACATACTACTAACGTTATTCATTATTTTTAAGTATGAATGCTTGGTGCTAATCATACGCTTAATCTTGGTCTGCATGGCTGATTAAACCTGTCTCCACCCCTCTGTCAGGACAAGGGTGTTTCGCTTTATTTTAATTAGCAGGTTATCTCAAAATGAATGATTGACACTTGATGACCAGAAAAGGTGTGAAAGTTGGCAGTGCAAACCAGCGTAAATGCTGGTCACATGCAACACTTACCATCCCTTCCTGAATTTTACACACAGGTCTATTTATAGCCGAGAGTATCATTACTGTCACACTTGCCTTCTGGGAAGAGCTAAAAGCAGAACACAGTGCCATTAACTTGCACTGTCAAAATTATAGTTGACAACCTTTTCACCTAATAGCTAACCTGTGTTAAGATGTACATAAGTACATAAAGTACAGTACTTGAAAAAAGTACTCACTACTGGCATGAATTATTATGCCTCAAAATGTTTCGAGCAACAGCTGTAAACAGTAGCTTATCACATTGCCAAGAATGCTTTTGGAATAAATTATTTAATTCCTGGTCTCTGACGTACTTTCTGGCATTGTTTGACGTTGGCCCTGCCAGCAAATGACCAGCAAACTTTTCAACTCTGGGCACTGCTCCAGTATTTACATAGCACCACACTGTGGCCCATTGACGGGGCCAGTGCCAATGCCGCTCTTCTCAAGGTTGACAAGAGAAGGAGAAGGAGATAAACTTGTTCATTTTCCAGAGCCTTTCTTTTCTTCGCTGTTGTTTTCTAGGCATAAGCCAATAAGCCAATAATAGCAAGATCTAGTGCTGTTGTGATAAAACTGGAAGTGGGCCAACATTTCAGCCATGTGACAATTGGGTTTGGAACTTCAACTGTGGCTATTATTGAGACAGACATCACAGGACTAATTCCTGAAAGACCCGTGCTGGAATTTCAAAACCGTTTCTTTCCAAATCACATATAGCTAACACAATGTGGCAATGACTATTTTGACATTTAGTGCCATCTTGTGAAAATGGATACAGGAAATGCACACTCTGGGAACGTGTTATTCCGTCAGTCTGAGTGCACTGTCATTGTATTGAGGAAGAAGTTTAAGAAAGAAGTCAATGTCACAAACGTCATTAGCACCCGCCACCCTGTGTGTCATTATTTTCCACAGCAAGCTGCACTGCAATATGTGGTTGCTAAGCACATGGCACCTCAATATTTACTGGACAGTTCAAATGTGTGAGATTGTAGTGTGTATGTCAGCTGATCCATATCTCATTCTTCACTTTCATTGGATTACAGACTTCAGCATGCATGAAAAAAGACAAAAAAGATAACAAATTATTTTATTTAATTATAATTAATTGTTTATTTTTAGAGGAAATTAAAAGCTTGTTTTGTTTTTTCACCCACCTATGTTTTTTTTCTCAACCATGTCCCCTAAGGGACTCCATAATATAGCCTAATATAATTTTCAGACAAAAAAAAAAGTCCTTGTGAGACATTTTCCCTCTAGGCTTTGACTTATTTTGTCTGTATGGTAAATATGTTGCTGGTTAG